CTTAATCGTACACATCCTTTAAGATCTTCGTGTTGAAATACATTTCTAGAACAACTATCATAGCGGGCATTTTTCACCCTTGCTTCACGAGAGTCTGGATCACCTGGCTTATGTTCAATTACCTCTATAACACCAATACTGAAGCAATTTTTTAAACGATCAGCCATTTCTCCTCTAACAGGTTTTATTAATTGTATATCTGGTAATAATCTATATGATGCTGTGGCTAAATGAAAAAAAAGAAAAATACAACAGATAAATATTTATATTTCTATAACTCAAGAAAAATATATTTCATAAAGGAAGTTATTCATTAATACAAATTGAAAAATATTTACTATATTCATACTGTAAGATTTAATAACATAAATATACTTCAATAAATTTGAAATTTGTTTATATTTAACTTACCCACAGGAGAAAATTTAGCATGATCTTTCCCAATTCCTTTAACTGCATGCATAAAAGCATGAATTTCTTGGCCAGGGCGCATTTTGCATACTAAAATATCATTTTCTAGAACACCTAATTGCTCTGTTCCCTGAGGATAAAGTTCTGCTTGACGACCAATTGGAACCCATTTGATGTCTTTACTGTACACTATAAATAAATTATTTTTCTTCCTACATTTTTAATGATTTGTTTTAAATTTTATTAAATATTTATGTACCATTGCTATTTTTATACATGTCACTTGTCCTTCGAGCATCTTTGGGAGCTTGGGAATTCCAAGTGCATGAAACTTTCAGTTCATATCTTAATGTATCTTGATCACTAACTTCATCTTCATCTTTAGCATTAGGAGAGGGATATTCAAATAATCTTGGATCAGCTCGAAGTGGTACTAGACCCAACCTTTAATATTATTTTTGTTTAACAAAAAGGAATGATAATATAAATTTTAAACATAAATAATTGTTACCTATGAGCAAGAACTTCATCTTGAATTAAACTTGTATTATTTATAATATAAACTTTTTCTATAGCCATAGTTGGTACCTCACTTAAAAGAACTCTACGAAATGCATTAGCAAAGCCAACAGGGTAACCAATTAAATCAAATTCTAACTCCCGTTCATCTTCAGATTCTCTGATAACTTGTATTCTGAATTCCTACGAAAAATATAAATTAATATAATATATGTATAAAGAAAGAATTATATAAACGAATAGGAATAAAGTTGTAAATAAAGATGTTACCTTTTTGAAATTATGTAAATTCCAATCCTGTTGTGGTTGATAATGTGTATATTCGGAGGCCTACAAAATAAAGTTATTAATAATTATTCAGTTCAATCACAATTAAAAAATATTTCAAATTCTTACATTAGGTATACCATATTCTTCAAGAATAACACGAGACTTCCTATTTTCTTCCATTATACTTATTATGACATTGAGGTTACACTTACAATTATGGCAGAAACGCACGTGGTATAACTCTGTGTTCCTCAATGTATTATATTTTGCTCAAAAAGTACTTTTCATAGAACAACTGACAGATTAATAAAAAAGAATTATGGATACGTTAGTAGTACTAATATAAATAATATCTTATTTAGTAGTGAAT